GGATGGGCACAACCCACAATGGATATTGACAACAAATCGTCTTGGAACACAGACCTCTATATTGTACCCACTGTAAATGTTTGGTCATATCCTTGATAAATGCTACAAGCTCCATCCTAATTTGAAAACTAAGGTTCAAGTGAATAAGGATGGGTCTAACCCCACTGCTCTGGACATTTTAGTTCCACCTGGGGAGGATACTACCAGACAGGTGGTGCTGTTGCCCGTAAGGACCCCCCTCATGACAATGTTGTTACTGTTACTGCGAGTGATGTGATGTTGGCACTTTCAAACCGCATAGAAAACACTACTGATGGACTATTACCTACAAATGAAAGTGTTCAAACTGATAATCAGGAGAGCCTCGCAGCTCCAGTTCTTTAGGAAGTATCCAGTGTAGAGGGAACTCATACTTCACATATGCTAGAACATATTGTGGGTACTATGGTTGGTATTCCTTCTGCTTCAGCTCTACCACCCCATCAGATTGATTTTTCGGAAGAGGAATGACAGGTCTATTCTAGGAGGATGAATAATAATGGACGCAGACTCCAGCTCAGAAACATATTGGATGATACATTGGTTACTTCTGGCAATGACAATCATCTTACTAGCTTACTAGCTTGCTCCTTTCCTAAAACTAGATGCAAAGGCAAGACCAAATTGGGTTGCTCTCTAGCCATCTGATACTATATATTTTGACACTGTTATGTTTTTTATTTAAGTATCTAATGTATTTTTCTGTTTTTTCTAGTTTTGGAACCATTTGTGGTTTTTTTGTGGGCATGGAGCCATGTTTGGGCCCTCCCACACTTTGTATCTGTATCTTTCTTTCTACTTAATATATTAGCCTCTTTGGGCTTTCAAAAAAAATATTTATATATTTAGAGCCCGACATCATGAGATTATTCACTTTGTTTCTTACCAATATGCTATACATTTGAGCAATATATATATATATATATATCTGGGAGTTTATTTTGAATATTCTTAAAGCCCGTGGTTTCTCTCAGGAGTTTTGTAAGCTCATATCTTCTTGGCTTCATTGCAACAAGTACAACATTCTTATTAATGACCAATCTCGTGGCTTTTTTAGTGCGGGTCGTGGGATTAAACAGGGTGATCCTTTATCCCCGACCATTTTTATTCTCATTTTTTATTATCTCTCCAGAATGCTTAATAACCTTTTCAGGCAGAATCCAAAGCTGCAATATTCTCATAAGTCTAATATGATGGTATCTCATTTAGCCTATGCAGATGATATGATTCTTTTCTCTAATGCAAGCAAGTCCAAGGTGAGGAGATTCATAAGTTAATGGTTGATTTTCAGTCTGATTCCGGCCTCTCTTTTAATGCTAGAAAATGCAACATATATTTGGGGAACACGATTAACAGTTCTAATACTTCCTGGATTGCTAATTATACGATTTTCTCCCTCTCTACCCTTCCACTTAAATATTTGGGGGTCTTTCTTCTTAAGGGCCGAAAAAGACGGATACAGTTTGACGAGGTTATAGAGAAGATTCGGAAAAAAAATTTTGGATTGGAAAAATAATTTCCTATCCTTTGGAGGCCGTATTACACTGCTTAGGAGCATCCATTATTCTATTCCGCTTTACACTCTTCAAGTGCTCCAACCCAAGAAAAGTACTATTTTGAATCTTGAAAGGTGCTTTAGTAAGTTTCTTTGGATGGGAAATCACTCTGGTAGAAGAAGGAAGTTTGCAAACCTTTTAGCGCTGGGGGTTTGGGTTTTAAATCCTTTCAACATATCGCTGATATTAATGTCTTTAAGCAATGGTTTAATTTCAGGAAAAATGAGTCCTTATGGCCCAATTTCATGCATGGGAAATATTGCCGCTTCTCTCATCCTGCTTTCATCACTTGGAAGCGTGGTAACTCCACCATGTGGAACTGCTTTTGGTTAGAGACTGGGCGAAAAATTTCATATTTTAGGATGTGGGTTCTGGAAATCTCTCCTTCTGGTATGAGTGTTGGTCACATGTCTCTCTTTATTTGAGGGATACTACGTTTTCCAATCTCAAAGTGTCCGACACTTGGGTGGATGACCATTGAAATCTTCCTCTTCTTACTACTTTATTGGGGATGGAGGGAGCCACCTACATTTCCAACATTCTTATTGATCCTCATATGCATGATACTCCTGTGTTGAAATTACCCTTGGCTAGCTTAATTACCAAATCTATTTATGTTTCTCGGTATAGCTTTCATAACACCCCTTGGGGTCAAGATGTGTGGAGTTGGGCTTTAACTCGGTCAATGTCTTTTTTGACGATGACATCCTGAAGAAGAAAGGTTTGAGAATTGTCTCCCGCTGTTGCTTGTGTAATTCGGCGGAGGAAACTCTTGAGGATATCTTCTTTTTGTGCCCTTTTTCTTTATACGTTTAGAAAAGAACCGGTTTGTGGTTTGGTAACATTATTACTCCGGCGAGGAACCTCTTGCTTACCTCTTTGAGGTGCAATCCGGATCGTAAGAGGAAACACTTTTGGCAAATCTATCCTTATATTATTTGTTAGTTCATATGGATGACAAGGAATGACACTATTCATGAAGAAAAGGTGATTCATAATACTATGGTTTTCTCAAATATCATCTCTTACATTAATAAATTATGGAGATTGGGGAATTCCAAAAATGATTTCTTTTCGGGCATCAATTATTTTCTTGCTTTGGGGCATACGAATTTGGAAGGGAGGAAGCACCTTCATCCTCCTATTTTAGTAAAATGGTTTCCACCTCCTACAGGTTGGTTTAAAATTAATACTGATGGAAGTTGGAATGTCTTTGAAGCTAGTTGTGGGGGCATTGTTAGGAATTATGTGGGACTGCATTCTTTTTTTCTCCTCTCCTTCTAATGCAGATTCTCCTATAGAGGTGGAAGCTCGGGCTATTTCAAACGGTGCTATTTTGGCTCACTATTTAAGTTGGAGGAGCATCATTTTTGAATGTGATAATCGTACCTTAATTGACATTTTAGATAATGGTGC